AGAAGAAAATTTGGGTTGTGTACAATGTGAACAGATTTACTACAACTTACAGCTAAATTTCTCAGACTTTCTCTTTTCACTGAATACGTTAAATCTCGGAGTGGCTGAGCGTGCTTTCCCAGGTGAGGGCTCCATGGTGGCACTGAGCCAGCTTCGATGCCGGGTTGTGCTTGCTGCGGGATGGGGCCGGGCGCGGATGCCGAGCATCCTGGCTGTCTTGGCTTTCCATAATCCCCTTCCCAGCACTCAGACAAGGTGGAGGATTAAACTCTCTAAATTGAGTGTAAGTTAACAGCAAAGTCAGGACAGGAAGGCGCAGGTTTGGGAGAGGGAGCCTGTAGTTGGTGTTGGAGGTGCAGGTAGAGACACAAGAGGAATGAGTTTAACACTGTGGGTTGCAGAGGTGAACGAGGAAAACATGCAGAAGGGAGGCCTGTAGTGAAACCTTGGCACAGCTCTACGCACACATGTGTAACGATAAATTTTATTTACAGCTTCCTTTTCTTTAATGTTACTTTGGATTTACTCAGTGCACAAGATAGTTGCTATTTACACAATAAGTGACAGTCAGTTTTTTTCTCTTGTGTTGGTCAGTATAGCAGACCTTGCCATCGAGCGTTCAAGTAATTTGAAAGCAGAGTTACCCTCTTTCATACAACCATTGTCACTAAAATACCAATAGCTTTGTGAACAATAATGAAATAATTATTATATCCCTCTGAACTGAAACAAAACCACCCAAGCCAAACACCTTTACTTCCATTTTTTATGTGACTGCACTAACTTTATTCAGACTCTCTGGCTGCTGTTGAATTTTCTGCAGGTAATCGTCAAAAGACGAGGGAATGTGAAGAAGTTCTGCTTATGTTTTGGGGGAGTTCATTAGAAGTGTATTGAACAGCAGAGATGAGTGGGAAAGTGCTTCTTTGAAGATGAAGTAGTGACTGGTAGTAATTGTGGATTAATCGGAGGCAGGAGCTGATATTTCGGTAATGAAAGATAAAATGTCCAGGGATAGGGGAGGGAAGATAGGGAAGGCATGGCTGGTTTTGAGCTTTGGAAATGACACAAGGCAGACTTCACTTGGAAATAATCTGAGAAAATGTAATTAAAGGGACTATTTGGGTTCATATATATTGAATAAGGTTCTGTTGGCAAGTATACTGCTAACATTTCTTAACTCTGAGGATTTTTTAATCCTAAGAGGTGATAGGAAAATTGTCTTCAAAAATAAAAAACAAATTGGCAACTTTTCATATGTATTTCATTAAGGCTGTGCAGGTGAACTGTGAAATGGACCTTTTTATAGGCAGAACTGCTAGCACTAATAGTCCATTTTGAGCAGTTAAGATAATTTTTCAGTTTTTGAGTCGTTAATTTGATTACAGAACTTAGAACAATAATGAATTTTTTTTTTTTTTTTAGAACAATGGCAATTTTTTTAGATTTTATTTTTGCAAGAATCTGCTACTGTGTACCTGTGCACAAACTTAACTCTTACAAGACACAGGAATTTTGTACAGGTCCATTTAAAAGTAAGAATAACTCTTTGAAATCCCTAATTCTCTTAAACTAACTAAAACAAATTTCAAGAAGTTTCCTTTCTGCTTGAGGCCATTATTCAAAGTTGTCATTATATTGTTTAATCTTCGTATTAGTAGCCTAAATACATGACAGATAGCATGGATGTTTTATGGAAGTGACATCCATGTCTGGTGGCACAGTGAGGCTGGGGTGAGAAGCCCTGGCTGAGTCATCTCAGCAAAAGGGAATTGGGGGAATTTTACACTGAACACGTCAGGATATGTAGAAGTACATTGGAGAAGGTGCTTTAAATTTTCCTCTGTGCTGTAAAAATGAAATCATCTTTTAATTACTCTATTTCAATTTTGGAAAAAGAATATCATTCTGTCTTTAGTGGCTGTACATTAAAAGCTGTATCTTTTGATATAGCAGGATATGGTGGTTTTATAGAGAGAAAAGAAACCTTACAAGTTTGGGAGTTTGCTCAAATCGTTTATTTCTGAGAAATATCTGCAATAATACCCGTCTGGGTTCTTGGAAGCTTTCTTGCTCTTCTAAATGTCCTTTTCCTCATTTTACCTCATGATAGCACATCCAGGTGGAATTTGCCTTTCAGAAGAAAACTACTTTCCAAATAAAGAAATAATTGCTTGATGCAGAGATTTTCACAGCTAGTTACTTTTCTTAGTAAATCAGAATTTTAAGTCAAATCCCTCTGCAGGTGTCCAATTTTTCTCTCCGTTCACTTCAATGTAAATCAAAATCTGTGTTATTTTGAGAAGAAAAGAGAGCCTGATTACTGTAATATTAAAGATTTTTAAAAGGATACATCATACATCTGTTGATTATGGCAGTAGTGCTTTCGTTAGGGTTGTGATTCCTCCTCTAAGCACCTATTTACAGGCACATGCATGTTTTTGATACAGATCTGTCTGCTGTCCGGGAAAAGCCAGACACAGGCGTTTGGGAGCTGCTGTTTGTTAATTGCTTGGATAACTGACAGCGAGTCCGGTTCCAAAACTTGCTATGTTTATAATTCTCGATACAAAAGGCACAAAAAGTAGATGTGATTGTGCCAGATAGCATCTGTTTTACATAGCTTTTGGTTTGCAGTTTCTGATGTGTTATATCCCAATATTAAAAGATACGGTACGGGCAGGAGGCAGGTAGTTTGGCTGTTGCCTTCATCCTGGCTGCGCTTGGGGTCAGGCAGGAGGATGCTCCTTGCCTTGGCAGAATAAACCTCTGGACCACCAGGTGGGACAGAAAGAAAGAAAATGGGATGTGCAACACGTGGAGAGGCTTAAGTGTGATCTGACATTAGGAGGCTCTGGTAACAAGAACGAAGATACTATCAGGGCTGGGAAGTGGTGGAAAGAAGGATTTCCACAAGGATTTAGCTCAAGCCTTGCATGGTGGGCTGTATCCCAGGAGGGCACTGAAAGTGGGTCTATCGAGCAAGTCTGAAGGACTGCTGCAAAGACTGAGTGCAGCAAGGGGAGTTTTGTTTACAGACTTACTTTAAATTAGGCAAGGGAAAAACTCGTGGGGCTGAAAGATGGCAAAGTGTAGGACCCAAGTGGTACTAGATGAGTGATGCTTACATTGTACATATATAGATGTCTGTTAAAATGACACAGCATAAAGCCAGACATTTATTTGTTAGCAGAGGCATATCTTACTAATAGGAAGGATGTTATTTCAGTCTCTTCTTACATGTGTATATACTTATCATATGTTTGCTTGAAAAGACCACACATGGAAAATTGCCAGAAACATTGTATTAACAAAGTCACATTCATTTGTGATGAACTTTTATCATAGCTGAGATTCAAAATTGTGTTTCATCAGCAACTCTGATTTTAGACTTGCAGATAATAGCTTCAGTGCAATATAAATACTTACGTAGTTTTCTACAATCACCAGTGTCCCTAACTTCAAAACAAGAAACCCATGGCAACAGTGATCTGCAAGATGCTGTATGAACCAAGGTGGAATGCTTCTTTTTAATGTGAAACAACTCCAAATGTTCTGATTTTCCTATATATACCTTTTTGCCTGTAACTTTAGAATTGTCATAGAGATTTGAATATTTATTTATTTTTAAACTTTATGCAGTGGTACATATAGAGCTTCAGCTGAAATCAGTAAATATAGAAATGTAAATGCTAGCTTATGTCATATTTATGAATTATATGGATTATCCTTTATATTGGGTTTATAAGCAACTTTTACTATATAGAATATATTTTATTTTGAGTTCTTGTTTACATTCATAATGCAGTCCTAGGAGGTTCAAGATGCTGGTTAACCTTTGAAATGTATTACTTGCCCAGTGCTTAACAGAGATAGATGACGAAGAAGTGCATATTAAAGCCTCTCAAAACACAGGATCATCAATCTTCAAGTAGCTTGGCTTCACGCAGCGCGCTGCTATCCAGGATGTACAAGGCATATCTACAGCCCATGGAAACTTCATGCATCCAGCCTCCTGCTTTTGCAGATTCTCAGTGGAAATGTCAATTGGACATTACCAACCGCCTCTGCCTGCCTTTAATATCTCTTCAATAATTTAATATGTTGTCTGACTCTGTGTGCTAAACTCATAACCCATCACTTATTATTTTACTGACTTGATGGCTCTGGCTCTAGAATCTAAGCCCATGTTTGAAACCTACTGTTCACACTTTATAATATTTTCTGTTTGGTCACACAGGTAATTAATGAGTAACACAGGTGTAAGAATGGTTTTAGATCTTCTTATTGATAGTCCTTGAATTACGTTCATCTAAATTTGAAAGTACAGCATTCACAACTTTGACATTAAAATTATATAATATATATTTGGTGAATAATGTGTGTACTTTTTGTAAAGTCAAATTAAAAACAAAATCAATTGGTTAGCATTAGGACCTCACGTAACTCTTTGATGTCAGCCTTTTCTGGCATGTTATTAGTAAAGGCCTGTGATAAAATGTTTAAAGAGGTCTTGGTACTTTATGGAATTATACAAGCTGCATTTCTTACACTGTTTTTAACTCTTTGCAAATGAGCCTCAGTGAGCTGCCTTGTGTGTTCAGTCGAGTCCCCAGTAACCTGCCCAGAGAGAGCTTGGGAGAAGTTTGCCCAAACACTGCTGACCGTCAGCTGATTCTGTGCTTTTACTTGTCTACCTTTTAAAAAAATGCTGGCTGTGATAGCTTCTGTAGCGTTGCTTTTATAACTGTAGTAAAATTATGATATAAAACTGGCTAAACTATAAATATCATTACAAAAACACATAAAGTGACAAAACCCAGTTTACAACAGTTTCAGACAGCAGCAGCAAAGATTGTTGTAGTTGTGGAAGGACGTATTTCCACTGTACATGTGGTAACCCCAATAATCTGAAAATGGTAAAATGCCATTATTAAAATGAATTAACCTATTAAACCCAGGTTTAAATGATTTTTTTTTTCTTTTTTTTTAATATCTAGGATGAAGATCGAACAGAGGAGGACAACAGCAGAGTTGAGCCTGTTGGACATGCAGACACTGGTTTGGAGAATGCTACCAATTTTTCCCTGGAGTAAGTTACTGGCAGAACACATTGTTTTAATGATGAGTCTTGAGACTGAACATAGACTAGCAAAAAACTCAGAATAATATGGGTGATACTGCTCTTAAGAAAATGGGGCAGTCTTGTTTAGCCATGTGTCGTTTTGGTTTTAAACAATTTGCTTCATGGACCTTTTTAAAGCAAATTTTAAACAGTTTAAAAAGCCTGTGTTAAAGATGAGCACTGGAAAGTTAACATAAGTGCTGATGCTACAGTAGATTTTCTGCCTCCAAGAAGATACTTATTTGATGGAACTCTGAAAACTTGACAGAAGGAATAGGGTCAGTGCTAGCACAAATAGATGAACAGGCAAGAATTTCAAAGGGGAAAATCTTAATTCCTGTCACCAGTTCACAGTCTACTGGGAAGATGTGCGTGCGGGTTATACAAGTTGTGTGATCAAAAATCTCATACTTTGTGAATGGATCAAAACTGATGTTGTTTAGGACTGGGAAGCTCCTCCTAATTTTAAAAAAAATCAGTAAAGATTATTTTATTTCATCACAAGATACAGCAAGCTTGACCTTTTGCATTTCATTGCAAAGAGCTGATCCATACCTCACTATGGAATTAATGAGAAAATATCCCTTTTACCCTTAAATTAAACCTTTTAAATTTATTAAACTTAAATTTTAAATAAAAATAAATTTTCTGCTCCTATTATTTCTGAATTAAATTATGAATTAGGTGCAGAGGGTTTAAATGTTAGAAAAAGATCATGGTGACATCTATTAGGCAATACATGCTGAGTTTTACTCCGTTCCATTTACAAAATCTGTTACATTGTAAATTCCAAATGCTGTTTGCTAAATAGAGTTTGCAGAACTTCTGTCAAATTTAATGCTTCTTGGTGTTGTTTTTAAGTAACTTATTGACTTTTCATCATATGCTACTTCATTCTTTTCTGTTCTGATATCAAACTTCTTTGTATGTTTGTTTGAAGTAGTTGGCCCAAACTTCTGAGAAAATCAGGAAGCAAAATTGAAACAATTTCTCTTAGGAATAGATCGTTTCCTTTTGTTTTGCATTTTACAGAGTTTAACATTTGAATTTGGGATGTTTTTTTTTTAAGAAAAAGTATGAGAAAAATGAGTGCCTAGACCTTAAGTGTGTATTTTGGAAAAAAAGAAGGTTACTGACTCAAGCAGTAGAACAAGTTAAACAGTGTAGGCTGGATATGAAAACTGACTTTTTCTTTCATTTAAAGCTGTGTTTCCACTTGTGACAGTGCCAGGTGAATCACACTAATTTTCACTTGTTCTCTTCCTCAGCCCTCAATTTTCTTTTATGCTAATAAGAAAGAAAAAAGTTGATCATAGGGGGCCATAGGCATACAAATACCAAAAGAGGCCTTTTGGAGTACCTCTTGGAGGTGAAGGGCGTTGCTTGATTCCTGTGAGCTGCTTTGCACACTAGTTAATGAAAGCTTAGCCTTAATGTACAGTGAGAATGAAATGAAGTTAGCCTATACAGAAACTGGGACAGGGAACATTACCAAATGCTGTAATGCTGTCAGTCTTAAAACATTGGTCCAGGTCTGAAGAATAACATGGTTTTGGCTGATGTCTCCCAGCTCTCCTTATTGTTGCAATACTTTCTGGAGCTAAACAGTGGCAACAGGGATAGAGACCTTCCATTTGTGGTGTTTAAAAAACAAGTTAAAAAAATCAGACACGAATTGAGGCATACAACAAATGTAAAGGCTGCCTTAAAAATATATTAAAAAAAATTAATGTAGAAGAAATATAAAACAAACTGTAACGCAGGATTTTTGTTGACTTCCTAACAATATGTGGTCTGGTTATTCTCAGAATCCAGATTAAGCATTGCCAGCTTTCGTGATGGGCCACCATATGATCAAGAGCTTATTGAAGGAAGTAGAAAATCTTTTACTGCTATCATAGGGCATTGGTCTTGCTCTTTGCTCCATTTCTAGATTAAATTTGATTAGTACACTTATGAGAAACAAGCTTCTCAAAGATCTGTGTATATATATGTAGTGCCAGGAAATATGGAAAAAGTATGTAATACTAGAGAGAGCCATAAGCCACAAATTTAGATTGTGGCTTTCATTCAGATCTCTCACTTCCAGATTTACAGAGAAGTTTGGCCTTCATGTATTATTTTCTCATTTGGGTATTTATAACTCTTTATGGTTTATGTGCTATATTCCACCTTTCCAGATGTGGGCATGTTTCAAATGCATCAGAAGATTTGGTCCAAATCTATTTCTAGAATTTTTGCGTGTCTCTTTCTGAACCTGTGCTTTCCTCTTTCACTTTTCCCCTCTCTACAGCAAAAATTGAAAACTAGATGCATAGTTGCTTCAGGAGGACGTCTGGTTGGTTTTGAATGTTATAGTTAAATCTTACTTCAGAAACTTTGCCTAGTAAGGAGATATAGATACAGCAAACTTCCAGTAAAAGATATGGAATTACAATAAAACAAATTCATGTGTTTTAAAACTAGAAGAATCAACTAAAAATTTAATTCTCACTTGATTAAGGGATAGTTATGTAAAAGCTAATGTTAAGGCTTAGAGTGGGCTTCCCTAAGATAAAAAATAAAGCATGCCAGTGCTATGATCAGCTTGTAGGGTTTTGAGGAAAAATTGTATGTGATATTTAAGGTATTTCTGCTTGGCGGTCAAGGCAGTTTACTTTAAATTTAACTTAGAATAAGGGTAAAACCAATATGCATGCAATGAAGATACTTATTTCTATATAACAAAGTAAGTTTACGAAAAATTTTTTTCATTTTTGTTTATTAATTGAACTGTTTTTGATGATTGATCTCCTTTCATGCCATCAGATTAATCTTCAGGTACGTAGCATTCAACAGTGCTTTCATCACCATGACTTGATTTCTGGAATGGTTTTGTTTTTCTGTGTATGTTTGTGTGGGGTTTTTTGGTTCCTTCACGGTACATGTTCATATTCCCTCATTCGTCATTGTCTCACAGTGATATGGTAAAGCTCGTAGAAGTCTCCAACGACGGCGGGCCTTTGGGAATCCATGTAGTGCCTTTCAGTGCCCGAGGCGGAAGGTAACGTATCGTATAGGATTTTAATTGAATCATAACTTGCTGTGTTTTATCTGTGTTAATTTTTGTTTTGTGTGCCTTTGCCTTCTGTAGAATATTGTACATTTTTCAAAAGGCAGTCTCACTGATTAAGAAAGGAAGAAATGCAAGTTTACTGACTCTATACTTGGCATGGACTCTATAATGGAAAGGTATTGCTTAAAATGAGTTAGAACTACAGGGTTTTAACAGTGGTTCTCTTGTGATCTCATGGGAAATTGAATTATAAGGACGTTTCCTTTTGGACTCTTAAAAATTTCAATCTGCTGCTTTAATTCAGGTGCATATTCATGCAGCATTTCCTTGCTGAGTGTTTAGAACCACGAGTCCCCAAATAACAGCAGGAGTCTAAACCAGAGGCGTCCTACGCCTGCGTTTGATAAGAGCGGAAGAGAAAACAATCATCATGCTTTCGATATTTAGTGTTGTCCCATCTGTTGGGTTGCTACTTGTTTAAGTAGCAAAACCGGTTGAAACATTCTGGTTTTGGAGAGGGTGAACCTGTTTTAGTTATATGACAAGCTGGAACTCCTGAAATTGGAATGATTACCAAAAAAAAAAAAAAGTAAAGTACGTCATTTACATTAAAGATATCATTTGGGGGATTATATTAGTAAACAGAATGCATCATCTCTAATGCTTACTTTGCTAAAGTAGAGTTTTAGCATTTAGGGTCATTAACATAGTCTCAGAAAAATAGCTTAACTTTTGTAGTAATTAGTGGTGGATTTGAAGCTTTTAAGTATGTTGAAAAAATGATAATTCTTCAGGAATATGAGCAAATTTTATTTTGGTGATGCATGTTCTAAGTATACACTGTATTTTCCATCCTAAAGTAAAAGGGGAACAAATACATTTTTTAAAAAGTAATCTTTGATTACACATGAAGGGATATTATGTTCTCACATGTCTGTCAACCCAGGAGCAATTTCAGTTTAGTAATTAAGAGCAAAACTAACTTGCTTTATATATCTCTCAAAATTTAATATCAACCTATTTTCAGAGATGATAAATGTATTTTTCTTTCTATAACAAATACCTTCACAAGATTTTAAACACAGCATAAGAGCTTTATTTGCAGTTGTTACTTTAAAGCCAATGCTTTCATTGCCATACTGACATGTATTATAAGAAAATGTAATTTCTTTTAATTTAAGGCTACTTTTTCTGAGGACTACAAGTACTAAGAACAAACTTCCGTAATGTAGTAAATTTTTCTGTTCATGATCTGAAATTTAGTGAATTCAGTGTGGGGATGGAAAGGGCATGAGTGAATGGTACTTCAAACATAAGCTCAAAAGTAAGTCCCCTAAAGTTGGAAATGGTTGAGATGTTCACACAGTTATCTGGGATTTAAACAGTGTGAAGGCCAAGAAAGAGACCAGTTTGAGAATGTTGGCTGCTAAGTACTTGTTTAATAAAATTGATGTTAGAAATGTATATTTTGACGTTTTGAACAAGAATTTAAACTTAAACAAAATTCACTTCCAGCTGTTAATGTGGTTGTCAAGTCTAAGGCGAAGCTTAAACTGTTTATACATAATGATAGCATGTAAAAGGAAAAAGCCATAAACGCAGAAATAAGATATCTCACTTTTTTTAAGGATGCTAGCTAGGTCAAGAGCTACGAAGGACTTCTAACTCTTTTTTTGTCCTGAGTTTGGGACTATGTGATAAAGTTTTATGACAGGAAAGCCAATTTTAAATATAGATGTTTAGAATCAAGACGTACTTGAAAATCAAATTCTGTTACAAGGGAAATAATTTTTATATTAAAATGTATCTACTTTTTCTTCGTAATACTAGAACTCCCCTCATTGAAAAATGGATGGTACATGCAATTGCTGTCTGAGTTTTTTCGACTACCCCCCAAATAATCTGCTGGAGAGGGGAGATACTTGGGTCTATGTCTTGAAAGTGTGGAGGAGCAGAGTTGGCAAGGACCTCGGATATTTCCAAAAAGTTTCTTCCATGCTCTCTGCGTTGTAGTGGAAGAAAAATAGAGCGTATTGCTTGGTATTGATTATAAGCACTCGTGTTGTGCTGCTGCTTTACTGTCAGCTGTGCCTCTACATGCTTTCAGTGAGAACAAAGACATTTTCTCCAGGTGCCTGCAGCCTGCAGTGTGGGCAGGGAAAGGAATGCACCCAACTTCAGTTTTGGAGCACTTGGTGGGGGTTTTCTTTTTGGTTTAGGTGGTTAGTTTTTTTTCCCCTCCTGGTCCCCCAGCTCTTTTGAGCAGATAAGATACACTTGGTTCTCTTTTTGCTAGATTCAGAACGAGAGCAGATGCTTGGCAGGGATCCTCTTCTGCCTACTTGTTTCTCACTCTAGCACATGGCTGCTCTTTGTTCCTCTGGCTGCAAAGCAGAATGCTCCGTGCTGCAGTGAACTAACTTACTCGAGCAGGAGATCTGCTCAGTAGAAACCTAAATATATAAAACCAAACACAGGACTCAGTAAAGACTTTAAGGGATGTCCAAAAATAAAAGATCTGATGTATCACATAGCTTAGTCCATTGGCCCACCTTTGTTTTATATTTGCTTGGTGTTCAGTTTCAGTTATGCTGTGTTTTCAATTTTTTTTTTCCCCGGTTCCTTTCTTTTGCTTTTGAAAATGTTACTCAATAGGCAATGGTTATTAAATCAATAATTTTAAAATCTGAAAAAGTGTAAAAACATACTAATGCAATTCTCCTATTTTCTCCTATGCAATAAGCAAGGGCCTTCTCCCACCAAAAAATCCCCCCTCCCCCAAAGCAAACACCCCAAACCTCTAAAAATTATATGCCATAACTATGTCGTTTATTTACATTGAGGAAATACTTGACTTTTCCACGGTCTTTGGAGGGTTTGGGTTTGGACTAAGAATCTGTCTTCAATGTTGGTTTTTGATCTTGAACAAAATCTGTAAAGATCTCTGCCTCATCTGTATAGATGCTACTAATTATTTCTGTTCCTAGTAAAACTGAGAGCTTTTTTTTAACAAAAAAAAAAAAAAAATCTCTCCATAATTCTCTGGGAAAAGTACTACTGGTTTGTACAGACATGTTCAAACTTTCTTCTGTGGATACATTTCCTTATTATCCTTCTGGTTTTACCTCTAGAAGGTTATCAGTCCTTTATTGGCCTTTTTGATCATATGCTTTGGATAACGGAGTTTGATCACCTTATCAAAAGGGAGGAGAGGTATACATATTCATCACCTTATGGTTGTGAAGTTTTTCAAGATAAAAGTTTTGTTTGCAATACCTGCTTGCACATTTTTGCAATGGCATAGATGCAGTGCTAAGCAGAATAGGAGGCATGAAAATGAAAGCAGAAGGAAGGACAGAATAGAAAGTGAACAGGAAAGTGTTTAGATAAGAGTAGAGGAAAGAGGAAATGAATGAGAGGAAAGCATAAAAGGAAAGAAAATTCTAAATCTGTGCAAAATTGCCTTTAGCACCAATCCTTCCTTCTTACTAGGTGCTCAAAGAGGAGAGCAAGCACTCAGTCCCTAATGAATAGCATTTGAGTAATCTTGGCTGGTGGGCGATGTTATGTTGATGCATAAATGGGGTTGCATCCTCTGCAAGCTTAATAGTAATTACAGCATAATTTACCATTATATGGCCTCTTCTACTTTAACAGTCTTTGAAATCTTCTCAAGCTCTATGCCCTTTTGAAAATCCTGCCATGTCTGTCTTTGGAAGGAGATTCAACTGACACAAGGAATATATGAGATAACAGCAGAAATCTCTGTAAATAATGATATGGAAGTTATAGTCCCATAGTTCCAAGACTACTGTGAGGTCTACTTAGTAAAACAGAACAGAAAAGCATTTGGATATTCATCTAAAAAGCCCATAAAGAACATCCATTAATAACTATCAGACACGTTACTTTAATACAGAGCAGTATGTAGGGCTCTGCCAGCTGTTCTTCCTATTGAAGCATGCCATAAAATCCATGATAAACCATACAGCTAAAACCTGGCAGCTAAAAATATTTAATCTTTGTTCTTATGTTATATATCCTGTCTTAAAAATATTAAGGAAGTCTCAGAAGAATGGGAAAAATAAGAGACTGAATTTTATTGCTTTTTGTCAGTTTAAATGACAAATTTAACAGATTTTATTAAAAAAATGAAAAACCTCAAATGAAGGTAGTCATTGATGTATACACAATCCCTGTACTAGAAAATTGTTTATATGTTTTTCTGTTCTGTATTTCTTTTTTTTTTTTTTTTCTTTTGAGTGGAAGTGCCTTTCACTTTCTAGAGTTTATAAATCACTTCATATTTCACTGTAAAAGTTTTAGTCTTTTACTCAAGATACAAAGAAAACTAAAGTAATATCTAATGGCCATTGTCTATACTGAGAGTCCTTAATACCGCCTTCAAGGTGCCTCTCTAACGATTGTATTCTGTTTGATCTTCTAGGAGGTATGTGTTATCTGCATCTCCATTTATTCCTCTTCTACATTTCCAACATTTTAAGTCTCAAAGGTAGCCATGGTTTTCAAAAACATATGCATTGGGAAAAGATTCCCTGTGATGTGAATGTACCATTCCCTCACTCTTTTAGCTGAATTCAAGGCTTTCTTTGTCTGATCTCAGCCTTTAAAAAGTTATATAAACTTAATTTGAAGTATTATTCAAGCTAAAAAGCTGAGGAGTAGTTACCAAAGATAGGAAATTGGTTCTGGGCTTCAGGCATGAAGTTATTTTAATGCCTCCGCAGTAGCTCTGTGACGTCAGTGTTGTGCAAAGGAGTTTATGTCCAATTTAGCATTGATCAGCCACAATAATTTAACTTGAACAAACAAGCTGATTTGCCTACTCTGACCTCTGAATCTCCGGAAATTTATGCTGTGTTTATATTCCTGTAGAACTTCTCAGAGATCTTTCATTGCATGAAACCGCTACACATCAGCTTTTCAATCAATCCTTATTTTTGCCCCTTAATCTAGTTTTTGTCTTTTCATGTTAGTGACTTTACATAAACATCTAAATTGGTTATTTTCTGTTCTGTCTGATTTGATTATATTACAGTTAGCTTGCAGGTAATAGGTAAATAACTTCAGTGTGTACGTACAATGGGCGGTGATGGCCGAATCATATTCTAGATGCTCAATGTAATATTTTTATTACTCTCATAGTATTTACACTGTCAGTTTTTATTAAGACAAATTATCATCATTTCCATGCAGCTGGATGGCATGTGGGGAGTTCACAATTTCAAAGAACTACCCAGACTAACTCAGGCAATTTAGATGTCAATAAAACATTCTCTGCTTATTTCTAGTTTTATCATTGGTTGTAATTTATACTGAGAACTGAAATGTTAACACATGTAGCTGAGTTTATTTTAATTGTATAATTAGAGTAATGAACCTAGTGGAAATACAGTGCTGCAAATGCTAATATAATCTAAGCTGTTTACATTCCCAATTAGGTATTTAAAACAAATACAAAGATTGAGCTCAGTGCTTTGATACTGTTTCCCTTCCGTCCCCATGTCAGCTAACGTTAGTCTAAAACAGTGCAGGTACCAAATTTCCACTTAGAATTATTGTTTTGACAGGGTTGTAGACTTGCGGAGTGTTTTGCAGAGGTAATCTCATTCTTGAAGAAGTTATAGTTTAAAACGTTTATAATGGAAGAATTTATGTTAGAAAACGTGTTAACTTACTTTAACTGGACAAAACTAAGCAAATTCAAATGCATCGTGTATTTGTATGCTACATAGTTGTGTTTAAACAAATATATATACTGACTTTTGTATTTTATATTAGATTAGTTTACAGGCTTTCAAAATTTATGTTTTCCTAATGTAGGAAACGTAATATTGAAACTGTAGTAGAGCTACATCTCCACTTATCAGGGTTAATGGTGGTGGCATACGGCAGGGAAAAAAAAAAATCCAATTAGTTTTTAGGTTATTGCATATTTGCAATATCAGGTCTACTCTGTTTATCTCCAGTTACTGCAACAACAAACATGAATTCCCATAATGCCTTTTTTTAGAGTCTTATTCTTACATCTAACCTAATGTGCTAAAGAAATACTGTAGGAAATTGGTAGGCTTTTGTTACTAAAATTTTCAGGAATGTACATTTTCTGCAAGTTCTGGGAGAGTTTACTCTGCTATGCAGAACCGCATTCAGGAAGTAGTTTCTGGAACTGTGTCTAAAGGGATCTTTTGCCCCATGCGTTTATATAAAAAAAATAAATAAATTAAAAGGCACTGTGAGGATCCTGGTTTCAAATTTGACTCAGGCTGTTCCTCCAGCCTTGAATCTGTTCTCAGTGACTTTAGCTTTATATGCCTTGGTTAACCTAGCTTTAACGTTTGTTAAAAAGCAAAATCCTTATGAGCACCATATGTTGTGTCTGAGATGAGCAATCTTGCATAAGTAGAACTTGTAGCCTTTGTTTAATGAGATTATTTGCAATTTGGACTGGTAGTTTATTTGTGTGTTACATTATTTTATCGTTGGTTAAGATTAGTAATATTTTTACTAGATTTGAGAGCTTAGGTGAAGTAAATTTAAGGAATGACAAACAATGCATAAAGATGCATCTTGCATTAAGAATCTAATATAACTTCAGAATGCGAAACAGTAGAAAGCAGCGTTTCAAGAAAAATGCTATGCAAAAACCATTGATAGACCAATTACTTTGTAATCATAAGTACATGGAGACATTGGGATGAAATAATCATATTTTTTTGTATAGTATATTATCATAGTATTAACTTGGAGTGTTGTACTTTGTGTAGAATATATTTTGATATTTAGCATACTGATATTTTAATATTTTTTATATTTATCCATGTAAAAAAACCACCTGTTGCAGTTACTGTGTATGCTCTTGCGCAAGGATTGCATGCACATCCAAATTCTGAATTGTCTTTGGGCATTACAGAGGAGTGCACCTGCATCAAAGTGCTGTTGGGCCTGAAGTAAAAGAAGAGTAGACACAATTCCTTCCTCTCCCCCTCAAATATTTTTGTGGTTTTCTCCTGAATGTAGCATTACGAATTTTATATTTGCTTGCTTATCTCTTCCCTATTTAGAGATATCCTCTTCAGTAACTTCACTTTGGGGCTCAAAGGCATTGTCTCCCCAGAGAAATTCAACAACTCACAAGTGAAAAAGTCACAAACTTGTTTTCTAACCATCAGTTTTATATGTATCAAAACTATAATTCTGATAAAAATAATGTAGTGAAGGCATACAAGTCTCTTTCCTTTCTATCGTTAACATTCATAACTGTTTAGTGCTGTCTGCAACTAACAATCAATCTATAAAATTTTACTTTTTATCATTATTTATCAGTTTTAAAAATCTGAGACTGTGTTCAAAGCTTATTTTAGTGAACAGAAGGAAAAAGAGATTGAATCAAGACTTTAAAAATTTGTTTTGTTTTACTGCCTGTGACAACATACCTTCATAATTATCAGCAAATTTTAGTACAATAAACGGAGCACAACGTGGTCGTTAAGGTAGTGTGTGTCTGTTGTGGACTTTTAGAATTTTTTGTCATGCAAACTATTAGAGGATTGTGGAAAAGGCAAACAGAAAACCACCTAAAATATCTAGATAATACAAGGTGTTTCACTGCCTTGGTGAGCAGAAAAAAAAAAACATGGAAGAATTGTTTTTGCTTTGGGAAATTTGGGAAAATTGGGTTTGGTTTTTTTTTTTTGTTTTCCTTTTTAATGGGAGATGCTGGGTTGTTGGAAGGAATCTACAAAAGGTGGAACTTCCCAAACCCAAAGAATATCAACTTGGGATGGGGAGGGATAGGACTGGATACACGCTAGTATTGGTTGTGTTTTTCAAGATTTTTTTTTTTTCCTGAAATACATGTATTCTAGAGAAATGATACTTTAGCTTTATGGAATCTTTCTGGTCCTTGTGCAATAACCAGTGTTATTGCAGAGACAGGTTGCTAATTGCAGCAGCTGAGCTAAAGACAAGCCCAATCACAGTTAGCATCAGTGACTGCACCCAAATGGTCCATCGGGAACCAAATGAGGGTGGGGAAGGTTTGCCTCTGAACCCTGTCCAGGAACCCCGGACAGGTCAAAGGTGCAGTACGTTAGGTGTTCGCAAAATACTCCGTATCAGTTGGAAACAGAATAGTATCACTTAAATGTTAATGTCTGACTCAAACTTCATATGATGATTTGTGTTGTCAAAATGCTTTATGTTGTTTTTCTCCTCACAGTCTGTTTACATGTATAGATCCTTTCAACATCATATCTTAATGTCTCTAGGTGGTTCCAAAATGGAAATACTACTAGGATTGTTTCTCTTACTCCTTCATCTGCCTTGTAGGAGAAAACGTATGACTGTTCTGTAAAAGAAATGCCTTATTTGCATATGTTTATGATAAATTGGTAAATGAAGAATTTAAAGTGGAAGAAGTAAGTTAAAGTTAATTTTGCTTTCCTGACTCATTTGATGAAGTGGTCAAGTGCATGTGTAACTTTTGAGCACACAAGGAGTCCTTTTAAGCATCATTGACTGCTCATTTATTTTGAGGTATGTGTGAATTGAAGTGGTATGATCACTGAAAGTTCTGTGCAAAAAGACGTATGAGGTCTTGCAATTCCTGCCATGCAACCAAGTATTTCCCATGCCATGCCTTGAAAGGACTTCTGAAAAAGTAATGCTGTTGACTTGAGTGATGTGATTTGACCCACTGATATGTTGTGTGGGATTTCAAGTTAAAGCTGATCTTCTTTAAAAAAATCAAATGCAAGTGTCGATGCAAGAATAATCCTGAAGATTGAACCTTCTTCAAACCTAGAGTTCAGGTATAGAAACATCATTGAATTTTCACATTAACCTAGCAGTACCTCATAAATCCACTCTTCAGGATCCATTTCATAATTTCAGGTTGAATACTTGTTTACTTTTTCTCTCTAAGAATGTCCTTAAGATGACACTGTGGGTAAGCACTAGACAGAGGTGACCAACTCATTGCACAGAGGTTATCAAATGGTAATTGTCTTCAGTCATTACTGAACCAATTAATGTAAGATAATATGCTGAATTAAAAATGGCATTTAAGTTTTTAATTTCCTCTTTGCTGTTTAGTAAAAAAAAGTTAAGGCTTAAAAATAAAAGCATTTGGTTCGCATGAAGTTCCTGAATCCTCTATCATCCCTTCATTATAGGGTGCTTATTACGTGAGATGACCCTGCGTTTCACTTGCACAGAAGCAGTAGTGACGGCTGTGGTATTCTCTGCTAATTCAGAGATTCAAATTTTAAGTTCAACCTGTTCAACTTCAGTTAACTAGCACAAAACATGCTGGCTGTCAGATGTGTGGTGCTTCTTGGAGCTTTTACTGCTCAGAAATGTAGGCCTTTTGCAAGAATGGGCGTGCTATCATCACACTGCCTGTTCATTCTTACTTTCAATGACGTGCTTGATTCACCTAGGGTCTTTGTTTCATGAATAAGGGATAGTAATTCAGGTAATGCTTATAAATTATTTGAAACTATAATATCCTACTTCAAGGTAAAGATGGTTTAAAATGTAGTTTCTATAGTGGTTATGATAAAGTATTAAATCAGTAGGATTTTCTGTGCTGCAAATTGTTAGAACAGTAATCATTTGTAATCTTCATGTTCCAGAACCCTGGGGCTGCTGGTAAAGCGACTGGAGAAAGGTGGGAAAGCTGAACAAGAAAACCTTTTTCGTGAGAATGATTGTATTGTCAGGATTAACGATGGGGACCTTCGGAATAGGAGATTTGAACAGTAAGTATACTTACCACACTTTACATGGCATTATTTAATCTTTAACACTGCGCCTTGCAGTAATTTGAGGAAATAAAGTATTTAAGAAAAAATTGTCTAAGCTTGCCTTTCTAGTAAAGAAGAGATACACTAAGGGCTGTTAGTAGTTTTTAATTACCAAACTACAAACAATTCAGGATAATTATTATCATTAGAGTATTTGCACTTTTCATTTCATTGTTTTTGCATATTATGGTTTTTTTTCTTCTTGTGTTGGTAAACTGTTTATCGTGAAATTCCCACGTGATTTTTTGCTCTTATACTTGCAATGCATCATGTCCAATATATGTGGACAGGATGGAGACATTATTTTTAACATTTTAAAAATATTTGTGGTTTTGTATGTGTGGGAACTAAAGGTCCTATATGCAGAAACTTCCTGGGGAAGTTTGAGAGATCATAAATATTTACTCAGTGGAAGCCTGGACTTGGTAGAATCCCGAAACAATGAATTAGAAAGACTTCTAACAGTGAAATCTAGTTGTAGTTCACAAACAGATAATTGAAAGAGAAAGCAGAAAAGACGTATGCAGGAAATGAGTGATTTCAATGATGATAATACTGTTCTGAAAACCCTAACATGTTGAGGGCCAAAGGAATATCATTTGTTCTGATCGCCCTGTACCTAATATACATTTGAAACATGTTTTTTATTTCTTCGACTCTAACCTGGATTGGAACACGACCCTGTACCATATGGTTGAAAGCAGCTTGTCTCTGCTTGTTCTGTGGTTCTGAATCACAATTTGTTAAGTCTGTGAAGAGACTTGTTGACTTTGTGTGCTTTGGATCGTGACCTAGAGCGCGATGTCTGTCTGTGCGGGATTAAGCTTTTTTCCCCTATTTCTTAATGTATTCTGAAAGACTACTAACCTACAAAAAGTGAAGTGTAAACTAGACTTTTTGCAAGATTGCGTATACTCTCAGCAAATTATGGAAATACATAGTCTTTGTATGAAGTGTAATTTTCATTTTAATAATTCTGTTGTCACTGTGATTTCTGTATCTGAAGAAGCAATTATCAAGGTTCAAAACAAAAGGACACTGCAGTCCTGCCTAGAACTGTCTGCATTTCAAGACTGTGGTTAAGATTTTTGCTTCTCCGAGTCCAGTATTTGGTACATTAGTTGTTAAGCATATTTAACCATTGTGTTACCCTAAGGCAATAAACCTTAGCAAAAAGCAGACCAAGTAGACTAGTGAACAGATTCAACTTTTATGGTTTATGCTTGAATGCAATGTGTCTGTCAGCTCGTGTTGCTTAATTAACATCAGTAATTATGCTTATAATGTCTTGTAGTCTGCCAGTCCTAATTTGCTAATTTTCTGTTCATTTTGAAACCTAGAGCACAGCATATGTTTCGCCAAGCCATGCGTACGCCGTTCATTTGGTTCCATGTGGTCCCCGCGGCAAATAAAGAGCAGTATGAACAGTTGTCCCAAAGCGAGAAGAACACATACTACTCCAGCCGGTTCAGCCCCGATTCCCAGTATGCTGACAGCAAAAGTATTAACAATTCTGGACTTCACACATTACAAAGAATGTCTCGAGCGGGTAACCAGTCCGATCAGACAGACTCCTACTCGCAGCTACCTCATAGTGTGAATTCATCAGGGAAACCACCCTCGGGCCTGGTACCATCACCTCAGAAAGTTCTCACCTCCACTGCAAACAGTGGGTATAACACCAAAAAGATAGGGAAGAGGCTCAGTATACAGCTGAGAAAAGGTAAGGCAGTAGTGCACTCCTCGTATAGCATGAGGTGTGTGTGTGTAGTGTATGTACGTGTGTCCAGTGCCATTGTATTGGGCAGGACAGCTTGCAGAAGCACAGGGCAAGTGATGGATTGATTTTTGAAGCCAAGTGGGTGAGTTGTCTCTGACAGGATGCACAGGAGTCCAACCATGCATTCACATTGTGCAGTATGTTTGCAAAAGGCCATTTTGAAGAGTGCTTTAACATAGTTTTCTGTCTCTCAACTGATAGAGAAGTGCAGGAAGTGCTACAAATTCTGTTGGCCAAGACCCAGGGAATGATGAACTATTTAATTAATAAAAGTAAACAAGTGAAAATGGGCCATATTCTGTACTTTACCGATATCATGACTTTTCAAATTGAATAACTGTGGTTTTGCCATTAGATTTTAAGAGTGTGTTGGATCCAGTTGGTAAATTGGACTTTCTAATTTCCAGTTAAAGCTTTTTTTTATTCCACTGGGATGTGAAAGTCTTTGTTTAAACGGTTGAGATGTAATGTGATATTTCCTATCTTAGGCCTTATGCTAATGTAGTTTGAATGGGGGTGAGAGACTATTTAAAAGCAGAGGAGAAAGCGGTGCGTGCTTATCTCAACATATGTGTTATATGTGCACATGTAGATGCACTGGTACATCCGTGGAATTTTTATGATGTGTTGAATGTCCTTAGCGAGAAAATTAGGTATTTTTCTGCAGTTACTATCTAGATGCTTTTAAGATAGTTTGAAGTATAATAAAATGACATTTAGATGCAAGTATTTCTTAGGTTTTGGGAAATGATTTTTTAAAGTATTATCCATGCTGTAAACTTTATGGTTATAAAATGAGCATGTTTAAGGTTAGATATAATTTGATCTCTAGGAGCCAGAATAGGGTTTACATTACACAGCAAAAAGTTTAGCCATGTGACAGAGTATTCTCCATGAACTCAAAGTCCATAAGGATATTATATCCATATATATATATATCCATAAGGATATTATATGTCCTTAGTGTTAATAATTTTTATTAATTAATCTTTTTATCAAAAAGTATCAAAGACAATGCATTGAATGGTAGAGATTTTACAGTTTCACAGGTACCAGGCTACTTGTCACATCATCATTATGCTTTCCTTTCTATGAACTTCACATGAACCACCAGATTGCTTCTTTCTGGTTGCTGAATTTTAAGCTCTACAAACTTGGATGACATAAGGTTGAGTTGACAGTTTGCTTCTGTTGTTGATGCTCCTTCAATAAATTCTTTAGGCCATGAGCTCAGATCAGCCGTTTGGAAAAACTTATTGTTATTGGCTGAGTAAGGAATCACTGTGCTTACAAATATGTTCTCAGTCACTACAGTGATTTTTACCTATTTTTTTGTGTCTCTGGAAGCCTGTAGAAATATCACTCGGACATTACATAAAAGAATTCTTAGCCAGGAGTGGAAATATAAATTTCACATAATTTAAAAGCACCAACAATTAATGTAGAGTATAGGAACACAGTATTTTTGCATGAAACAAATATGGCCTTATAGCTTATAAGATCTGTAAGGCCTTTGACACAGTCGCCCACAACATCTTTCTCTTTAAACTGGAGAGATATGCGTGGACTGTCTGGTGGATGAGGAATTGGTTGGATGGTCGCATCCAGAGGGTAGTGGTCAACGGCTCAATGTCCAGAGGGAGATCAGTGACAAGTGGTGTCCTGCAGGGGTTCATATTTGGACCAGTACTGTTTAATAGCTTCATCAATGACACAGTGGGATCGAGTGCATCCTCAGCAAGTTTGCAGATGACACCGAGCTGAGAGGTGTGGTCGACACGCCCGAGGGATGGGTGCCACCCAGAGAGACCTGACCAAGCTCGAGAAATGGGCGCATGTGAACATCATGAGGTTCAACAAGGC